TAAGTCCTGCATGTCAACTGAACTGAGACCTTGGTGGAGCTCCTCTCCTTAGTGTGCAAAACAACTAGTCCTCTCCTCTCAGGAGGAAGCAGTCAGTAGTGCAGAGGCCCATGACCAGGAGCAATTTCATGGGGATAGAAACTAGTGAGTTCAGTCTTGTATTTTCGTAAATCAGAGTAGCTCCAGATGCTTGAAATGTGTTAATATAAATATATTCACCTTTGACAACCTTGATATTTTTGAAACTAGGTTGAAATGAGTAACGTATTTAATTTTCTGCTCAAATTTTAATCTCCATTTCTCACTTTATTTTAGGGAAGCAGATATTTAGCAGCAAAACTGAATTTAAGATCAGCACGCTGAGGTTCCACCCTACAGAGTCAAATATTTTCATTTGTGGAGGGTTCAGCCCAGAAGTTAAAGCTTGGGATATAAGGACTTCTAAGGTAATAGAACTATTTTTACTCTTTGTCTATTAGGATGTTGCCTAGGTTGGATGTACTGTGCATTACTAAGCTGTTAGATGTACTGGTCTTTCAATGCAGTGTTATTCTGAAGTATCTTGCATTTGTCAATGTTTGTATTGCCATTTGTTGATATGGACCTCTGTAATGTTTTTGAAGCATGCAGAGGAACATTGTACACAAAACCCATTATTTTTTTGGTTTATGTAAATATGAGTAACATATAGTTGAATTAAATATAAAGGCAATAGCTCCAGGATTGTGAAAAAGGCAATTGTGTGCTAGGAAGCAGGACAGCTCACTTGCTCTTCAAGCTGTTATGTGTGGGTCAGGATGTGTGTGCATGTACCTTTTGTGTAGGAGCCTGGAGTAATTTTTACATTCATGAAGGACCACAGAGAGGCATGTATAGCCTCTGTGTTTACTTCATCCTGAACCACGCAGAACAGTGTGCTCCCAGCTGCATTCAGAGCTCAGGTAAGACCAGACCTGTACTCCACCAGTGGAAGCATAAGGCAAGCCGACATCATCCTGCACAGAACAGCTCAAAGAGCAGCAGTGACTGTAAAGTGAGTAGTTCTTTTGTTTTCCTTTGAATTTCTGTGTGGTTAGATCCTACTCATCGTAGTTAGCCATCTGTTTGCTCTTGAGGGTGACAGAAGAGATCTGAAAAAGATAACATTGCTTATACAAACTCTGTCTCTGATTTTGGTGTACTAAGAATAATAGGTGACAGATGTAGGCAGATACATTTCAGGTATGAGGCCTCTAACAGGAGAGCTCTGAAGTAGTTATGGAAGTTGCTGTATCAATGGAAAACCAGTATTATTGTGCAATTAAATCTAATTCCTGTGCTGCAGTTTTTCCTTTGGATTTGTCACTGATGTTTGAGAAAAGAATTTAGTTGTGTAGGATCTATACCTCAGGCTTCCCTCACATAAATAAGTTCTTAAAAGAAAAAACGTTAGAAAGTACATATCAAGACCGCCAAGTCTGAGGCTACTCTGAAAATAAATTTACTATGAGTTTCAGAGTTACAGTGCCAGCATAAAAAGCTTCGTAAAAAGTATGATGGGATTTCTTCCATCCATCATGCTTGTATGATTGCTAGTTTTTCTTGATAAGGATATGAACAGATACTCAAAGCACAGTTCTGTGAAGGAAGGTGATTCTAGTTTTTAGATTGCCAAAATCGTAAGTATTTATGAATACCTATGTAACTTTTTTAAAAGTTATGAGATTTTTCCATAGTAGCTCTTCCCTCCCTGCCCCTGCCTTGCACTGGTATACAGTATTCTGGTGTTGTCAATAAGTGATTCTGGTATTCTGTCTTTAGTGTAGGCAACTTACAGAACATGAAAATATGTATCACACAAATAGGAAGTAGTAACAAGGTCAAAGGGTATTTGTTCCAGATGATCAGAGGTTACCCTGTAAATTTACTGTAGAACAAGAACATTACTCTTTTTTTTTTTTCCGGCAGGGAGCTGGAGAAGAAAGACTAATAGAAGTCTTCTCTCCTGTGCAGCAGGTTTCATAGCATGCAAATGAAGTATGGAATACAATTGTTCTTTCTTGAGATTCTCATAACAGTAGACCTTAATTGTGGGAAGGAGGTACAATCTGTAACTGAACACTTGGCTGTCCTTCTTAACATAGAGAAGCTATTGTATGTCATGGTAGGCTGAATTGCCTTTAAAAAACACTTCAGGATCTAAGTGGGTATGATCTTTTTAAGGCTTAAAGTTTGTTGACTGTATTGTCAGAATTTGAGAATTTGGTCCTAGTCAAGGAGAAGATGGCACAGATGTAGGTGACAAAACATTCTTTCTGAGATTTTCTGACTTGTTGCAGTAAGCTTTATGGTAAATGATCTTGTAGTTATATACAAAGTAAAATGACAGTCTAGTTGTGTACAAAGCCAAAGACATTCTTTCTTTCACCCCCTATCATTTCTTTATGATGGATTTTAGGCCGGTGTGTGTCCTTCAGTGACTATCTCCAACAGTCATGTAAATTTGATTTTTTTTTTAAATCAACTATGACTGATGAGCATGTTCACACTAAAAATGGCAATACCTCCCATTTGCATGTGTCTAAGGTGCCAAGTCTGTACGGATGGAAAAGAACTGATTCTGTTCTATAGTAACAAATGACCAACATGGCATATTGCAAAAATGTACCTGTCTGGAATGGTAGCTTAATGGTTCAATTCCTTCTTATGGAGGAATATGGTTAGAAATCTTTCATAGATGGTAGGAGAGAATCTCAAATATTGGTAGTGGAGAAGGCACTTCAGTTTCAAGTAAATAGAAGATTCATTTACAATGGATATTTACAGTTCAAGGGTTATGCTTGAAGAAGATTTCTTTTTTTTTTCCCCAGCAGTTCTGATACCAGAGATTGTGATGAGAAGACCTGAGGACTATGCAACATTGGCACTGACTCAAGTAGAATTAAAGGGCTAAATAACAGATGTTAATGCTGGTGCTAGATAAATTAGTTCTGAGTAATCTCCTGATTATGTTCTTCTATTGTTAGTATCTCTACCAATCCCTGGTATTTTGGTTTTGTCTTTGAACAATATTATGGTGGCACCAAGACAAATGGCTTGAAAAATGCTATTCTTGGTCCTTTTCCCCCCTTGTGAAATTGCAGAGTTTCAGTGGTGCATCCTATTTGTACCAGACGAGGTATCAAGCAGTATTTTATTCCAAGCAATGACGACACTAAATGTGTTCATCTCTTAAAGCATATCCTTCCTGTTAGGTATTAAATTCACCTGCCTCAGCTCAACCAGAGCCAAACTGACAATTGATATGTCTGGCATAATTTACATGAGGCATTATTGCACTGGGAAGCAGACAAATGGGTTGAGATGGAGATTGTAGTAGAAGATGAAAAGATGAGGGGCATTGTGCAATTTGTGAGGTATTTGCCACTGTAAAAGGCATTGTAAGAGTGCAAAGGAGCAAACTCATACTGATACACTGCAGGCTTTAATAGCCCACCCATTCATATCTTACATCGTTCTGATAAAACTACCATTATCCTGGCTCAAGATGATGTTCTGGTGTATTTTAATTCTAGCAACTTTTGTGTAAACTACGTCTGGCAAAATTGCAGAGGAAAACTTCAGTTTTCAGTACTTTACCACTGCACAGTTGTAAGAAACAGAAATTATGCTTGGGATTACCTTTGTGTAGGTAGCAGGGGATGGCGTGTAAGCTGCATGTGTGTCTGCATACCGAGCCAATAGTCAACACTTTAGGTGACAACATCATTGCTTCATTTCCAGACACCATAAAAGCTATTTATGTCTATGAAGAAGTGAAACATGAATACTTAAAATTGTATTAATTTGACTGTATATTCACTCTAAAACAGCCTTCATGTTTTCTGCTAATTAGGGAGTATATTATCTTAAGGGTTCAAACAGTGTCTATTGCATCTTTATGCTTTACTGCCCAACTATGGTTTTTTGCCTCCTTGCTTACTGATGTGAGTATGGTGCCTTTTTCAAATGGGTGCAGTAAGGTATTTGTCTTTCCATGGGCCATTCCCTGTCCACTTTTAATCCTGTTGCCGAAATAGACCGTACTCTGAGAGCATTGCTATTTTGCGCAATATGTCACAACATTACGTGCTGTGACAGCCTCATCTTATGACGTGATTTCTCAAGGCAATGTGTTCTGTGGCCAGGATGCTATATACAGCAAAAATGAGACTAGCAGAATAATGCATTTTTATCTCAGTGATTACTTGTACACTCATTTTTGTAATACTGAAGCTCCTTCCTTGGAACCTGCCTAAAAGACCTGTTGATCACTGAGAAATGCACATGTGGTGGTCTCCGTACCTGCAGGACACTCCAGAGCTTAGAAAGATTGCATGTAACTATTTCTATAAACTGATGCTAATGAAGAGATAAGGGAAACGTCTCACCGTATTATAAGGAAACAATTTAGTTTCCAAGGGAATAAATAAGTTAATGAATGTGTATTCTGACAGGTAAAATAGGAAAGGTTTTAGGCTTGGTAAAAAAAACCCCAGCCTGTTTCTTTTGTACAGATCCTATACTAGGTTTTCTCTGGAAGTTTTAAAAAGCTGTAACCTGCTTTGTTTATTAGGAAACAGTTACATTCATGTATAACTTCATCAGTTGGAAAACTAGCCAGTTAAGTAGCACTTGAGGAATATTAATTTTTATAAAGAGCAGTGTCCAGTCACCTTAGAAAGTGGAAGGTGTGGATTTAGCCTGGTAACAGATACTGATCCTTTTTTCTTTGTTGGACTTGTTTGCTCATTTGAAAACCATAATCTTGTATGTACTGTGATTGTCTAAAGCAGCAATGTGGTTTACTCTCTTATTCTGAAACATTTCCCAAAGGGGGAGAGAGTTTCTGTTATCCTTTGATTTTTTTTTTTCCTCATCTGAGGTAGCTGTAGCTCAGTGATGGGTGCGGGCTGTTAGACACCTACATTTGTATTGGTTTTAAAACTTGAAGAACTGTGTGTGTGTATTGAGTGAATGTGGAGGGTGATGGCGGAGTGGAGAAAAGGGAAAAAATACCAAATACTGATTTAATTGCTTATGGCTTCTTCTTGCAGAATGGCAAGTATCACCTATACATCATTACTGCAAAATAACGTAGTTACATTTCAAACTCTCAGTCATAGACCAGTGTGTTGATTAGGTGTGAATCATCAATATCATCAGTATCTCATATCTGCTTCTCCCTAGTTTGAAGGGTTTCAATGGTTTCTTCAGATATTCCTGCTTTTAGCTTATATTGTTATCTTTATTCACAAGATAAAAACAACATGTTTTCTGTCTTTTCCATTTTACAGAGTTATGGCCATATTCAGGATTGGATAAAGTCTCCTGGCCAATATTTTGAAATTGATCCTGTTCTAATAAGTGCTATTTGCTCTTAACTGAAATTGATGTCTGAGGCCTCTTGCCACTTCATTTCAATTTTGATGCAAACAACCTTAATATCTTTCAAGTGCTT